CAACCGTTGAGTTTCTCAAGGCAAAGAAATTGGATATTATTCAATGGTCAACACAGTCACCTGACTGCAACCCAACAGAGCATGCTTTGCAGTTACTGAAGACAAAAATTAAAGGAGGGCGGTGGAGACCCACAAGCAAGCAGCAACTGATGGTTGCTGTAGTAAAGACCGAGCAGAACATATTTGGTGAAGTGCGCAGATTCTAGACTTCAGGCAGTCATTGACTGAGTATTAAAAGCAATCCTCATATCTGAAAATTTAATCCACTGTGGTTACAAAATTGCAAAAATTTCATTTTCCAAGTACTACCTAATATGTATACCTGTATGTTGGCTGTGAGGTTAAGGCAGGGAAGTATCTCTAGAGCAGCTTTTGTATCTGTCAGACAGGACTTTCTTGCTTACCGTATCACACCTTCGTAACTGAATCTCTGTCTTGCGATCTGCCATGTGCCTCTGGCTGTATGCATTGTGCTTCCTTTTGTGCAAAAAATAAATATTCTTAACAGGTATCTCCTACCTTTGTTATGCAGAAAATATTTATTTGCACACCTCAGACAAGCCTCTGATGATCTGTATTAACTCCATATAAGATGATAAATAGTTTTCTTACACCTAAAAATTTTCAAGACATTGTTTTAAACGTGATGTAAACTACTATCTCTTTATCTTCTTTCATTAAACTTATCCTGCTTAATGTAGGTATCTCAACACACCAGGCTTTGAAGTTCAACAATCTTGTGAATTGCTTATTCCCTTATGTTCTGCCAGGAAAGGGATATTGCTATATTCACACTCAGGTGAGATAACTTTGTTTTTATTTTATTGTTTAACCTATTCTTATACAGGCAATTCCATTGAGACTCAATGTCTCATTTACAATAGAGGTCTGTTTTAGACAAGTTTTATTCCAAATTTGCAATACCCTGTCCTCTGCCTTGGCAATGCTTTGTCCAAATTCTGCTGCCAAGCTTTTGGCCACATCATCCCAGAGGTCTCATGTAACACAGGTTTAGACTGTCGGTTCAAGATGGTCTTCATTTGTTTGGAGCCTTGTGTGGCAAAAACCTCTGGCTACAAAGCAGCAGAATACAAATTTTGCATTTTTTTTTTAAAAAAAACGTCACTCTCTGCTCTAGTAGCCTTGTCAACCTTCCTCACCTTGCCACTTCACTGACACTCTCATAGCTGCATCTCACTTTAGCTTTAGAAAGCCGATACCCTTCCCATTTTTTCCTTGTACACATGCACACAAACATGGTATCATGTCTCTGAAACTCTGGGCTTTCCTGCACAAGGTTATTAACAGAAAGACATGCAGAAAACAAGTCACATGACTGTAAAACATAACTTTAAGAAGGTTGATGTGTCATCCTGTCTCTTCCTGTTGTTTGGAATCCACTTTGGACTCAGTGTAGAGCAACACCACCCTCTACAGGTTCTTTAACCTTGATTTTATCTCTCTGTATCTAAGAGTTACATTTTTATGAACTATAAGTTCATCCATTTCTTTTAATTGTCTGAGTCTAATATGCATGATTTATTCTGTTGTTATTATATATTATTGTGATTTCTTTAACTGAAAAAAAATCCTTCTACATCTGATTTAATGATCACATGGTTTGTTGTGTATGAGCCACTTTCTAAAATGCAAATATTTTCACCTTCTCTCTAAATCCAAAGAAGAAACTAAGGTCTAACTAACCAACCAACAAACACAGGATATTTAAGCTCAAATGTAATTTTTAAAAACATTCATACTTTTGTGTGGCCACAGAGCAGACTCAAAACAGACTTAATGGCTCTGAATTAGCCTCAAAACCAGACATACTGGAGTCAGACAAGACCACTTTTACAGTATGTTCTTCAACAGTTTGCATCAAAACACAATTAAATCCAAGTGACCAGCTGTGACCTTTCCATTAGTTTAAGTACAAGTACTTTAACAGTTAGAGTCAGTTATGAAGATGATTTTATTTATTTCAAACTGTTTGACACATACTACGTGGCACATATTACTATTTATTCAGAAATGACGGGGATATATGTTGAAGAAAGTGTGTTGGAAAACAGTTTCATTGAACTGCTGGGTATGTAAATAAAGAAAATCGGAACCCTTTACCCTCCTTGAATCAAGGGTCCAGTTTACTTCTCGGGTGGGCAAGGATCCGGAGCTGGGGCATGAGGTTGAGAAATAGTGGCTAAATATAGTTGTCCTCGCCTCAGTGCAGAGCTTGGGCTCTGGAACCAGTTTCCTGTAGAGGGGTTGAATTCTGTTCCACTCTGGAGTTGGTTTAGGTAGTGGCGGTAATCCCACAACCAGACTGCGGACATCAGAGGTGAAGGGAGCTGTCAGGCTTATTGGGCTTATTGAACCCCAGGGGCAGCTGACAGGTACTGGCACCACCAGTGGAGTGCACCTTTAGTCGTAGCTGGGGTGAAAATTCAGGTGCATGAGGAATTCAGTAAGACAAAGGAACAAGACTTGCAAGACAAGACTCACATCTCTGCAACATTGCCTGATGAACTGAGGTGGTGATTCTGGATTGGGAGAATGGGGTGATTGTTGCCCTGGGGGACCAGAGGGGGACCCCCAAATATAGGGGGCTCACACTCATCATTTTCTCCAAGGAAGTCGATGCCAAGGTACCCAAGGTACTGCAGGGGAGACTCAGAAGGAGCAATTCGGTTTGCGCCCTGGATGAGGAACACTGGACCAGGTCTTTATCGTCTTGAGGATATTTAAAGGTGCTTTGAAGTTTGCCCATCCTGTCTACATGTGTTTTATGAACTTGGAGAAGGCTTTAAACTGAGTCCCTCTGGGTATCCCGTGAGAACTGCTTTGGAAGTTTTGGGTTTCTGTGCTCTTGTTACGGGCCATTACGGGCCATTTGGTCCTTGTACAACTGCTGTGAGAGCTTGGTCCAACTTTCCAGCATGAACTCATTCCCAGTGGGTGTTGGCCTTCTCCAGGGCTGCCCTATGTCACCTATTCTGTTCATACTACACCATCAGATGTAGCCAGGTGGTATAGGCTCTAAACTTTGGTGGACTCAGGATTGCCTCATCTTTGCTTTTTGTGGATGATATGGTTCTGTTGGCTTCATCGAGTGATGACCTCCAGCTTGCACTGGAGTGGTTCGTGGCCAAGTTTGAAGTGACAGAAATTGAAATCACCAATTCCCCAAAAAATGGAAAAACTCAAAGTGGAGAAGTTTGAGTATGTCTGGGTATTGTCCATTAGTGAGGGGAGAGTGGAGCGTGAAAAGAGAGACATCCACTTCAAAGTGCTGCTAAAAGTGGTTGAAATTAGTTTCCTTCAATAGGTGGCTTGGTTCTTCTTTAGAGATAGAATTAGGAGCTCAGTTATCTGACAGGGATTTGGAGTAGAGAGTAGGTGGTTCAGGCATCTGGCTTGGATACCTCCTGGGCAAGGTTTTTTGTCGTACTGGGAAGACGTCCTGGGTCAGACGTCCTGGGTCAGACGTCCTGGGGCAGACGTCCTGGGGCAGACGTCCTGGGGCAGACCTAGGACTCACTTGAGAAATTTTATCTTTCAGCTGGCTTGAGAATGACTCATCGTCCTCCCAGATGAGGTGAAAAAGGTGGCTGGGGTGAGGCTTCTCTGCTGAAGCTGCCTCCACGACATAAACGCAGGTAAGTGGTAGAAAATGGATGGATGGATTGAATGCTTTCAGGACACTGATAGATATTGGTATTGGTAGTATTTTTTAGGTATTTCAGGTATTGTAAGGTGAATGCAACTTTTTAAACGTCACTTTTCCACTTCTCACTGAACCCCAGCAACTCAATCACAATGAAATTACACAAAGACATATGTCAAAAAGTACTGACCTTCACTTTGGCTGGCTGCTCAATTAACCCCCTCTGCTTTGGTCTTTCCACCTGCATAGTTACAAGTACACACTCGCCCATAAACATTCACACACAGCCACATAAAGAAAGTCATAACTGTTTTGAATAATTGATTGCTAGTGAAATTGTGTGGCTCTAGGGTTTCCAGGCTATCAATGTCCCTGTTTCGGGTCAGTGGGTGGCGAGGAAAAAGTAAACTTCTCATGCGAATTACTCATCATGTACCAGCCCTAAACACTCACCCCCACCCTCACACACATTTGGATAAGTTGCATCCTCACCTGAGATGCAGAAGATGTAAAAGGAGGGAGACCAGCGTAAGACCACTGAAACACTGTAGCTTTACTCTTTTTCTAGCTTACATGACCTCTGGCTGGTGGAGAAATTCTTCCAGGACCATGAGAGGAAGATGCCTCGGGACAGTCTGATCACCTCTGAGAATGACAGTAAGCCCATTAGCATGCTTTTACATATTCTTTAGAGTTTTTATGACGGCAGTACATTAATTCTTTGTGGCTGGGATGATACAGGTCGATTAGATTTACAGGCCTTTACTGGAAAAAACAATCTAATTTCTACACAAATATCAACATGTTTATTAGGGAAAATGCTGATATTGGTAAATACTCATTAGTTAAATAGAGGAAGAGCTTTTGGTCTTTGTGGTAGTTGTAGCTGTGATAACTGATTTGAGTGTATTTTTCTGACAAAACATCCTAATTTATTGAGGTTAATGTTCAGTAAGATGAAGTACAGTTACTTGATGTCTGCCTCTAATTAATAAAATCATTAAAACGCCAGCTATTGCCCAGCACAAAGATGTTTAATCACCCAGTTCTTGCCTCCTGTTCACTCTGCTGCATATTTGGGAGCTGGCCTCTTGCCCTTGGCTGTCTCCCCCATCCTTGTGGGCTTAGTCATCCCGTCTCCCTTCATTAAGCCATTGTTTGCCTCTTTTGTGCCCTTCTGCTGCACCCAGCCATAATGACCCATGTGCTGGCCACTCCGGTTACACTAAGGACACACATCAAAAGGCCGACTACATAAATATCTGTTCAGTCTGTCAGTGGTCCTCTTTGTTTTCCTCTTCATCCCCCTTTAGTGCACAATAGTTCGAGGTGCACAATGAGGTAGGTTAAGCTCCACCAGTGAAAGGGTTCACTGTGGTATTGGAGATGTGAAAACAAAACAGAAGGGCTGGATTTATAAAGAGGTTATCAGAGGATGAAAGGTTTAGTTATGTTGTAGAGAAGTCAGATGTATTTATCTTGAAAATAACAAATGTAAAGTTGCAGGAAAAACACAGCACGATAATGTTAAAAATGTTTTATATCATAGAATACAATATTCAGAAAGAGAAAGAATTAATACTACTCATCTTGCTGCAAACCTAAAAAAGCTCTTTAATCAACATCTGGTCTGTGAAATAGCAGGAAGCCTACATGTCTTGCTTTGAGCAAATCTTTCCTTTCTTATTATTTTTGTAGTTTCTGTGTTTGCAATATGTACTTTATACTAAATCTGCACTTTGAAACATCATTATACTGTATCAATTATGACTTAACATGATCAATAATGACACACGGTTGTCAGTTTTTAACCAGGAGATCTTAAACTTTCCAGTAATCTAATTATGATCATCACTCATGTTGAGTAACTTAAAAAAGTTGTTTCTGTGGACCCTTAAATTAAAGGCATCACTTTAAAAGGCACATTCTTTGCTACAAATATGCTCCCATGCACCTAAACTACAGTCTTAATTTTTAAATTCATATATACTCAATGGACATTTTATGGAAATGTATCCTACTGGAATCAGAAGATGAGTACACTGTGGTCATAAAGGTATTGACATGTTCAGTAACAATACTCAGGTAGGTTGTGGAGGGTGTTTAAAGGATGATATTTAAGGGACCATGAAAAACCTGAATTGTCGATAAAAGGCATGACAGATTCATGCTTTTGTGTTTTTACAACAAATTTTGACTCTACAATCCAAACATCACAGCAGAAATCACCCAGAGAAAAAGCCTTGAGAACTGCTGCTCACTGGACATTTTCAAACCATTCTCTGTAAACACTAAAGCATCTCTGAAACACTCAGACCATCTGGCACCAATGACGATGACACATTCAAAGTCACTTAGAGCAGCTTTCTTCCCCATTCTGATGCTCAGTTTAAGCTTCAGCAGGTCATCTTGACCTCGTCTATGCGTCTAAATGCATTGAGTTGGTGCCATATGATTTGCTGATTAAATATTGATTTTAAAAGACAGCTGAACAAGTCTAACTAATGAAGTTGCCACTGACTGTATTAAGCTGGGACTCTGGTAACAGAAAATAGAGGGGAGCCTCAAGGTCATGAAGATTGCAAAGACTTAATGGGTTCCAGTGTGATGAACTCTCATCTATTTGTAGTGTGCTCATATCAAACTTGCCCTGATGATTAAAACAAAGTTTAGTTTGTGTGAGAACATCATTTTTAAAAGACATGATACCACAGATTATCGAATTTAAAGTGAAGCATAAGATAAACTGATTATGAGGCATATGCAGTTATCATGGCTAAGATGAAAAAACAAACAAACAAGGTATACTCAATTCTTTAATTAATTTTCATTGATAAAATATCTGTCTCCCATTGTTCACACTGGACTGGATTTTGCAGGTACTTGTGCAGATGAAGGTTAGATGAATCCCTGAAAGGCCCTAGTCTTCAGCTTGTTTATAACGGTAAAGTTAAAAATACTTTAAATAAGCAAAATTACTAAAAAAAACAAAAAAACAAAAGAAAACAAAAAACCCTTATTGGTCTTTATGTTTGACTTTTGGCAGAAAAAGTCAAACATAAAAATAATTCCATGCACGTGTTTTGTTTCTTCACACAGATGCTCCACTACTGTTGCCACAAACACACTTTGAAAATCTTTTGAAGTTCTTTTGATTTTCCTCAGTCATCACAGTACTATCATGCCTTAAAACATGCGATAGCATGAGAGAGGAAGGGAAACTATTTAATTTAGCACAAGCCTAACTTCACAGTATCAAAAGATAACTTTCTGTGAGCATTGCAGAGAAAAGAAAGCAACAGTACTGACAGATTGACAGTGTTATGTGAGTATAAATAGTAAGAAGTTAACAAAAAGTAATATTTAAATGTCAACTGCAGGTGAACAAGATGCAGATTTGTCCTTGCAAGAGGAACATGAGAGTAAAACACACAGAACAAAAAGAAGAGATGGTGAAAGGCAGAAAAAGAAGAGGAGAAATGAGAGAAGAAAAGGAGGAACAAGGGCGGGAGAAGGGGAAGAGGATTTACAGGCCGTATCTGAGAAAAGAGAAAGAAGCAAGCGAAAAAGAGCTAAGAGTAAACAAGAAACAAGCAGAAGAGAGAACAACGAAGAGGAAGAAGCTCAACTGACAGGTGGCAAGGGAACAAAAGCAAGAAAGGATATCAGAAATGAAAAAACACGCAGAATGGAGAAGGAGGAAGTGCGAGAAGTTGATGAAAATGTTGATAAGGGAAAAAAGAAACAGGGAAGTACCAAAAAGGGAGAGAAGAAAGAAGATGGAGGTAAACAGCTGGTAAAGGAAAAAGCCCGGGACATAAAAAAGAAAAAGCACAAAAAGGCTGAAACAAGGTAGTGTATCATTTTATAATTTCACCTTATCTATGGAAAACTCTGTCATTTAGACAAAAAAGGGCCCTAAAAGACATTAAACACAATACTACTTAATGTTTCAGTTCAGAGCCAGAGACAAGCGAAGAGGACGATGATGAAGAAGAGGACAGTGACAAGGATGTGGTGAGGCCGGAGTGTCTCTCTCCAGAGGAGCTGGAGAAGCTGAAGGAGGCAGTGGATGAGAGGAAGAAACTGATCCAAAGTCTAAGGGGAAAACCCTGGCCAATGAAAAAGAAACTTGTCACTTTAAGGTACTTCATATGGATAAATCATTCTGATTTGTTCTGCTGTAATTCAAAATACCAGAAGTATTTTGAACTCTAATATTTGCTTTTTTATTTCAGGGAGTCTCAGGAGTTTGTAGAAAAATATGAAGGCGCCTTGGGAAAGGGAAAAGGCAGGAAGCTCTATGCATACAAAGTCCTGATGACCAAGGTGAGGACTTACTTTTTCTTCTTTATGTAATCATTAAGTAACATAAACAAATACACGATTCATTAAAAAATAATATTTCATATCATTAGAAATGGATGAAATTCCAACGGGACTTTGAAAACTTCAAAACTGCATGCATCCCATGGGAGATGAAAATAAAGGAGATTGAAAGTAGGTGTGCTTTTATTTTTTTAAATACAAAGGGCTGCTCAATAGTCGCATATATCATTTCTAATTTCCAAGGCCTTATCTTTTCTGTGAGAAGCAGGATAGCTTACATTGTGGTTTTATAGCAGATGCACATATTCATTTGTTCACATGTTATTTTGTACTCTGCTCTGCAGGTCATTTTGGCTCCTCAGTTGCCTCATACTTCATCTTTCTGAGGTGGATGTATGGCATCAATATGATCTTGTTTGGTCTGACCTTTGGCCTGGTTATGGTACCAGAGGTATGCTGTCTTTTTTTCCATGCACCGCACCTGAATTATGTCTTTTGCATTTTCCCCCAAAAACAATGTAGTCCTTCTCTGTGCATTTTGCTAACAGGCTTTAATGGGGCGACCTTATGGGAGCATGCCAAGAAAGACTGTGCCCAGAGCTGAGGAGGCCAGTGCGATGGACTTTGCTGTTCTTTGGGACTTTGGGGTCAGTGGGTATTATTTTATTTGTCTTTGTTGGCAATTTCTCCTCTGATGTAGTAATAAATAGTCACCCCCAATTAAAGTATTGTATCCACAGGGTTACGCACAGTACTCAGTCCTCTTCTATGGCTACTACAACAATCAGCGTACGGTGGGCTGGCTCAAGTTTCGTATGCCTCTGTCTTACTTCCTGGTTGGTGTCGGTACAGTGGCCTATAGCTACATGGTGGTTATCAGAACGTATGTTTGCTATGTCTATATACAAAAGACAAATCTATTCTATCCACAGTGTTTTAGTGAATCATGTACTTACTTTTAAATTAAAGGATGGCACGTAATGCAAATGAATCAGGGGTCGGCGATGATAACAGCTTCAATTTCAGCTGGAAAATGTTCACCAGCTGGGACTACCTGATAGGAAATGCTGAAACAGCAGACAATAAGTTTGCTTCCATCACCACCAGCTTCAAGGTTAGTGCAGCTCACTGTCTGCTTTCCAGTATGCTGATTAATGCAAGCCAAGTATCATACAGTACATTACATTACACTCTACCACTTCTTCTACCACTTTAGGAGGCAATCTTAGAGGAGCAAGAGAGCCACAAGGATGACAACATCCATCTGACTCGATTCTTGCGTGTGCTGGCCAACTTCCTGGTTTTGTGCTGCTTAGCAGGAAGTGGATACCTCATCTACTTTGTAGTGCGCCGTTCTCAGAAATTTGCCTTAGATGGACTGGAGAATCACACGTGGTGGGAAAGGAATGAGGTAGACATGAGAGAAAGAGAGAGGGAGAATTAATGAGAAGTAACATTTACAAAAGGAAGTTTATGAATAATTTTGGCAGCAAGCAAAACTTGCTGAGGTTTAAATGTTTTGAACACACCATAATATTTAGAATTTGTCCTGCAGTTCTTGTCCAAGGCCAAAATAGTGACAATAAAAAGTGCAATCCAAACCCAAAGAAAGGAGTTTTATAGTTTAACATATTCACTAAGGAGTATTCTGGGAAAGTGATCAGGTCATTTGGAGAGGGGTGTGGTGGGTGAGTCCAGGTAAGATTCTTTACACAAGGTGAGAGCAGGTGAGAGTGCGGTGAGTATTTCTGGAGGAATGGACCAGTTTGACTGTGACAGGTAAGTTAATCTGAGAAGTAAACTGCTCTATGGGAACTGGGGGACACTGGAAAGCATCGAAATAAAGGCGTTAGACTTTAAAGTTTACAGGAGAGCATAAAGAAGCCTGCTTAGCAGTCAGGAGAAACGCACAATCTGACTGGATGTTGGAGATGTTTCTTAAATATTGGCTGATGATGAAGCAGATAAGCAACAAGTTCCATACCTGAGCAAACTCACCTAGACCCAGATCTAAATGTTGAAGTTCGTTAGCTGTAGCACATACCACGTGTTCTACATAAAGCTGTTTGAGGTGAGTTGTTAAAATATTCTCAGTTTGCTCTGTGAATTACACTCACATTTTGAGTTATGTGAAAAATAAAGTTTTCACAAGACTTTATGTAGACCATGTTGAAGACAGCAACGCAGTTTACGTTTGTAAATTTCACCTGAACAAACCACAAGATCATCTGGAACAATGTCCTCTGAACTGACAAGACCAAAGTGGAGATGTTTGGCCATTAGCACCATGTTTGTGAAAAACACAGTAAAAACCAAACACAGAATATCAGCAAAACCACCTCATACCAACTATTAAGCATGGTGGTGGAGGGCTGATGATTTAGGGTTATTTCACAGCCATAGGAACTAGGACCTTGCAGATATTGAACTGAATAAATGCATGCTAAAGTATTCTAGAGTCAAATGTTCATCAAAGGACATCTGTCTGAAAATCTGTCTGAAAGTTAATGACCTGCCTATAAGCTACAACTCTGCAATCATGGCATGTACTTAGTTTTCACAGGAGTGCACACCGTTCATGTCAATGGGAATATTCTGCCCAGATTTACAGCGATCACAGCCACCAGCTATTCAGTTGCATCAAATGTTATTTTTGTAAGCCGTTATACAAAGTTACACACTAAACAAAAACCCATGCACTCCCAAGTTGTCCTCAAAGTAATTACATTAGTTTTCTGATGTATTTCTCAGGTGAACATGGTCATGTCATTACTGGGGATGTTCTGTCCGATGCTGTTTGATGTAATCAGCACCCTGGAGAACTACCACCCGCGGGTTGCCCTGCAGTGGCAGCTCGGTCGCATCTTTGCCCTCTTCTTGGGAAATCTCTACACCTTCATTATTGCACTCATGGATGAGATCAACCTTAAAGTGAGAAGTCATTGAGTATCTATTTATGAGATCGTAATTTGATAGGATGATTAATCCGAAGTGTTTGTCTCAGAGGAAAGAGGAAAAGGTAGTGAAGTTTAATATAACCATGTGGGAGGCCAGTCTTTACAATGGCACCGTTTCAGAAAACAGTACTGCTCCACCCGTCACAATCCACCCTGCTGATGTGCCCAGAGGGCCTTGCTGGGAGACAATGGTAGGCCAGGTCAGTGTGCATGTGTGCGTCTGTACTATTATGTAACTATGTGATGTAATTGTTGTTATGGCATTAGGCTGTGGATACCAATAAATAAGGAAATGATAAAATTAAGGACAATATGAAACAATCACATGAACATAGTGAGTAAAATAATTTAACTGCAATGAGGGGCCACTGGACGAGGCCATGAAGTATTTAGCCATGTTTTGTTTGGAGATCAAATCATTATTTCACTCAATGACATGCAAATAAATCAATACTTCTGAGCTGTCCCTCTCTGTTAAAACATAACTACCATAAAAATCAGACTCTGAAGACTCTCAAACTTACAAATTCAATTAATTATTTCCCCCGTTATTATAATGCTTTAGTTGAAAATCAAAGTAAACATTGTGGCTGCAGTGTGTTTAGCTTTGTACTTTAGTTAACTTTGTATTAATGGATTTCTGTTGGATTAACTAAGGAAACATACTCTGATCTTATTGTGAAAAGC